AAGTATGCCTTTTTTATCATTTATTTTGACTGCCTTTATAAATTAAAATATATTTTATAGAAAACATGCACGAAAAAGTTATTTCTTGTACTTGCTTGGTAGAAAATTACGCCTTCTTTAAATTTTATGCAAAAAAAGGGCAGCTTTCGGTTCAAAAGAAGTTTGTTCATAATACATTTTATCCATAAATTTATTAAAGCTGCCTATACTGCAAAAAATATATTCGACATATATTTCAATATTTTCTGACATCGATGTGACTTCTTCCTCAACTGTAGGCGAAAACGTACTTTTCCTTAAAAAGGATGGACACAGTGCGCAGTTTTTAAACCTTAAATTCGACTGTAGCTGTCACTATGTTAGAAAATTATTCGGCCATTGAGCAACATTTTTTAAACCGAAAGCAACGCTTTCTTTGAATATTAAGTTTCAAGGAAGCGTACTTTGCAACCAAGCATGCATAAGAAATATTTGTTATGTGCATGATTCCCATAAGATATAGTTGAATTTATAAAGGCATTCAAAATAAATTATAAAATGGTATACAAATTAAGTAGTCAGTTTTTACAATAGATGCGTTTTGCTAGTGGTCAAAACGAAGCTCGTTAATAAGCCCGCATCCTATCATGACTGAAATGACCTCAGAATAGACTACACGAGATTCACTATCACAACTTGAGTCAATGCTAGTTAGTGAAATAGTTTCGACCTTTCGCATATGTCGACATGTTTTGTGATCTTTGGCGACTACTGTATATTATAAAGGCTGAACATTGATCTGGTTTATCCCTTAATTCTTTTACAAGCAATAAAGGATGTAAAATTCTACGAAAGTCTTGAAGTGAAGGATAACTGGATACGCTGCTTTCTGAAGACACCCCAAGTGGTCGATCGCGAAATAAAAATGTTCAGCCCTCATAATATGATGTAATCACGACTACGAAAAGTAAAATGATATCATGGAACATGAGCCTCCGCGTTGCATCACTCTTGTCGCCTTCCCAGGTCAGATGTGAACATTTTGAACTCTAGCTCTGCTTACTAAAATCACTGAGCATACCGTTCGATTGTCCGATGTACGAGTAGAAGCAGAACTATCCAACGCTAATGACAACTGGTTCAACTCCGGAGAAGCAGTTTAGTGCGGCTTGTAGGAAGTGCCCTAGTGGATACACGCTAGGGCTATCTTACTTCCTCACTCTCGCTCTTTTTCTCAAGAAAAACTCTACCGGTAAAGTAAAGTCACACATGTTCTCAGGTGTAGGCACGCGTTGAAATCTCGACCTAATTTGATTATTACATCTCACCTTTCTGTTGTACCTACTAACTCACCAAAAAATCACCAGCCTCGTAGCACTTTGTCACTCATGCCCTGACTTTTAACATACTGCAGCGGTCCAATACGTCACAGCGCTAACAGCATATGTCGCTGCGCGCTTTAATTAGGTTATAAATCTCCTAGTCATGTGGACAGCCTGGTAGGAAGTTGCTAGCGAGTTTACTCACGATGAGTCATGTGGAACCCGTAATCACAGCGCAGACACCACCGCAATCTTTACTTTTTCAGTTTTTTGTTATCGTGCTCAACACCACAGGAAACTGGCGAATAAGCAGATGAAGTCGAGAATAATTTTCATCCCCAAAAACATTCCTAGACAGAACATA